CGCAATCAATTTGGCGTTCACATCAAAATTTTCCGTTCTGATAATGGTCGTGAATACTTGTCTTCATCTTTTCAAGAATACTTGGACCAACATGGCATTATACACCAAACTTCCTGTGCCTACAATCTGCAACAAAAATAAAGGATATATTCTCAATGCCCATTTAAAATCTATGTGACCTAAGAATCCATAAGTTTGTTCTCATAATTCATGGTAGAAACCAATGCTAGAATGTCCTTAAATTAAGCTATTTTTCAGGGAACTCTTGTCTAAATTCATCAAATTAGTGCTTAGACATATATTGCTAAATGCAGAGTAAATCTGAGAGGAGGATTTAAGATACGGGAAAGGAAAAAAATGGAATCTCTTTTGGAAATAACTTATCCTAAAGAACCTGAACTAATAGTTTTTTCCTTGTAACTTGTAGTGGAGTTGTCAAATTGTTAACTCTCTCTTGGAAAAAGTTCGCAATTAGAAGAAAACAATATGTGAAAAGGGAAACAATATTTGTATGATATTTGAGTTGAAAAGGGAAAATGTTATCACAGTGTAAAATGGCAAGAATGATTTGGGGTTTGTGGAACAAAAGAAATGTAATAATGTTTTAAGATGAAACGTTCGAGGTTGATAAGTTGATTAATCTTAATATGGTACAGGTTGCTTATTGGTTTTTGGTAAATGATGACTTTAACTAGTCACCATAAACGAACATCTAATGGGGTGGCAAATAATCCTTGGATACTAATAAAAATCAGCAAAGGACGATTGGACTGTTCTGGCCATGGGAAGATTAGAATTCAATTTTGATGGTTGCAGTCTTGGTAATCCAGGGAAGTCTGGTGTTGAGGGTGTGATAAGAGAACATAACAGCAATATTTTGCTCAGCTTTTTTCTGGCCCAATTGGACAAGGCAATTCTGTAAGGGTCAAACTACTGCCTTGATACAAGTTTAAAATTGATGAGTATGAATGGCAAGAAAGATGTTGAAGTGGAAGGTTACTGCTGAACCAGAATTCAGTGGATAAAGAAACAAGAGGAGATTCCTTGGAGTTTCAGACCTTTGGTAAGAGGCACAAATCCTAGGAGTGCAAATGCTTTGCCAATTCCTTAGCAAGAACAGAAGCTATAAGGCTATGTTTGGTTTGAGGGAAAAGGTAGGGAAAGGAAGGGAAAGGCAAGAAAATCTATACAGGATTTGTAATAGTTTCCCTATCTTTCCCTTCCTTTCCCTACTTTTTCCTTCAAACCAAACATAATCTAAGGGATGATATGGCATGGGGCTTACCAGGGCCAGGTATCAATTTGTAAAGCCCTGTAGTTATTATATGAATTGGTTTTGTTCCTTTGTATTCCTTTGGCCTACTGCCCACTTTTTGGTAGGGGTGATCATGGGCCAGGCTTAAGGTGTCTAGAAATTTCTGGACCTGATGTGGACCTAGACCCTAGCCTGGAAATTTCCAGGCCAGGCTAGAAACGATCATCCCTACTTTTGGGGGCAGTTAGGAGTTGACTTTATAGCATATACTTTTCAATAGAGTAGAAATCTGCTGAATTAAAAAATATGAAAGAAAAGTAGTTTCTTGAAGAGAGAAAAGAGAAGGAGAAGAAGAGAAGTTGAAAAGAAAAGAGAGCAAATAATCTGGCTGCCCCCTCACTTATTATTTATACTAAAAATAATAGAACAGTACAAAGACAACTATGCCCTTATAGGGTGGCAAAACATAAAACAGCATATATAACACTCAAAAACAAAATAAAATTTGGACTCACATAACTACTGTTGTCCCCACCTCCTATCTAACAACTAACATAAAACATCTACTCAGAAAAACATCATAAAACTGATTGATCTTCAACACTCCCCCTCAAGTTGGGAGTAAATGTCACACATTCCCATCTTGTGTAGATCATGTTCAAGCTTGTTCTTTGCCACCCCTTTAGTGAGAACATCAGCTGGATGCAACTCTGAAGAGACATAAGGCAAACAAACTTCTCCGATTGTTACCCTTTCTCTTATAAAGTGTCTATCAACTTCAATGTGTTTTGTCCTATCATGCTGAATTGGATTGTGGG